GTTTATGGAATTAAAGAGAATGTATTATCACATAAAAAACGAAGCAACTTAAACAACTTACACGTGAAAGAAATGTTTAATAAAGTAAACAAATAAATATTAAGCTTTTTTTTTTTTTTTTTTTTTTGTAAATTTTGATACCCTTTAGATCATAATTGTTCTTTATTTCATAAATTACGGTTTCATATTTTTAATTTTGTAATTTCTGCATGCCATCTTACCAGATTTAAACTGATGATCTATAATCCGGAAAAATCGATAATCCGGAATCGCTGAAGTCCCGACGAGTCCGGATTAACGACTTTGACTTATTGAAGCAGCGACTTCTTTTTTTCCTGTCCAATCGGATGATAGGACTAATTTTTTTGCGGTCTAACCCACCTAGCGAAGATTTTCTATTCTGGAAATTTAAGCGTTGTTGAAATTAGATCAGAAACACCTCAGATTGTAATCTCTCTCTGTTTCCTTTAGTAGTTCTTTTTACTCTGATGTCGGCAAGCTGTTGATCGACTGCGTAATATCAATTGGAAGAACTCGCCGCACGTATTGCGCATAACGTTTGCATATTTTGCAGCGATAATAATTTGATTTCACTCTGGATTGTTTAGACCTTAAATGATTTTTACGTGCTCTAAGCAAATATTTCCAGATCCGTTGGTCTATTTTTATATGATGCACATATCGAAATGTCCAATCATTTATTTAGCCGAGAAATCTAAAGAACGTTACAATTTCCACCTACGCTTTTTCCAGTTACTAACGGATATTCGGCAATTTCTGGTATGCGGTTAGCTAAGCTTTTCTGTGAAGGGATGACTGCATGAAGCAATTTCCCGTCTTCTGATTTCATATATGTGCCTCTTTTTTACTTAAATTACTTTGCTTGGAATATACGTTAAGGGAAAACTATTATGCAATGAAAATTTGGAAAACGTTCAGAATTTTGATTTAAGTTAAATTATTTAAATATTAATATAAAAAAAAAAATTTTTTTATTATGAGGTCTCAAATGACTACAATAATAGTTATTATTATTTATTTTTAGATTGTGAACTGAAATTTCAGCATTAAATCTCGTATATAGGTTAGTTCTGCATATTTTTTTTTGTCTCTTGGAAACTAATTCTGTAAATTGAACTGTCATTTAAATTATAAAAACAAAAAACGTTAATTGTTCCATGGGTGAGGTAATCTCATTCCTAATAAATGCATTGCTCATATTTTAAATTACAAGTCTTAATTTTTATTTTAAGGTTATGCAGTTGTGTGTAGTGTAATTAGACAGGTGCTTATTTTTTCATTAAAATGTCCTTGAAAAGTGCTTATAGGTGCTTATTCTTTTAACTAAACTGTGGCTATGAACCCTGTTAAATACTCAAGAAAAAAAAGTGTGGTATAAGAGTGATTTTTCTCATGATGAATAGATTCCTGCGTGTCATTGGAATTGCACCATGGCCCCTGACAATACATTGTTTTACATACTAATGTTGATGATGACCCCACTTTCAATTCTTGAGTGGTTGTGGGAGGGTTAGAATTTTACAACCTGACTTAATAAGTGAACCCCAAAGACATATTTGGATTGGGTTGTTGCTTGTTTTTGTTAGCATAGCAGTGGAGATGGGAGAAAGATTCTGACGAACATAAATTCAGTTAACATAGCAAATTGAACTCTTCTTTTACTTTCTAATTCTATCCAGCTTTTTTTTTTTTTCTGGTTATTATTAGTAGAGCTATTTTGTCAAAATGCAAATCTGAATTTTTGAATTTGTTTTAAAAGTTTCTAACTCTGGAACTGCAGTGGGATTTGCATGTTTCAATATCAAGCAAGTAAAATGTAGAATTGCTACAAAAAATAGATAAAGGCATATCTTGCTCAAAATTATGTGAGGAGTATGTCCTTGGAATCTCGTAAAAGACAGGAAAAGGAACTGTGTTTGAATTTTGAATTGAATGTTTTGTGGATTCTGACAAGTGACTCATTATGAATAACAAGACAATCTTTCATTATCCTAAAAGTGACGATTATGATAATTTAATGAATTAATTGAGATAGTGGCACAGTGAGGGCATGACATATGCAATTCAAATGCTAATGGCTGAAGTAAAAATGTTTCACAAAAATCACTTAAAAATCTGGGTGCACATATTCAACATGCTAACTAAATTTTAAAATCACCATAGTAAAGGCTGTTGAAATCTTCAGGCAAAAAAGCTTCAGCTGATACCGAAGCACCTGAGCAGTTTGCAGATAAATTCATCTAACTCCTTAATGGTAAAAAATATCTTCAGAATAAATTTATAATGTCAGTGAAACTGGCCTTTTCTAGCAATATATAATACAAAATATTTAAGTACCTCTGTGGAAAGGCTCCAACTGGTATCAGAGGTTCCAAAGCGAAACTAGTGATTTTGGCGTATGCAAGTATAAATGAAGAAATACTCGACTTCAGGCATTTGAAGGAGAAAAGGTGTTCTCCGTTATCTTGAATTCCTAAAAGAGCATGAATGACATAAATATTAATGAATGACTGTGTGAAAATCATTCCATATATGGAATGAGGCTTAGCAGCACTTGAAATTAGTTTATTTACTGTGATAATGCAAAATTTGCCCTTATTATACACCACTGTTTGGCACAAAGTTCATTTCAGTTTTTAGTAAACATAATATCTCGTCATATTCTTTCCTCCAAATTGTACATCAATCATTTAGCCAAGAGATATCCAAGTACTGAATAGCAGATGTAAATTTTTATAATCTACTAAATTTTCTCAACAGTGACAGGACTTTTGAAGAATTTTTGAACTATTTGAACATAAAATCTGCTGCATGGAGCATGGCTGTATGTATAAGTCATGGGAGTTTTTGTTTGCAGATGTTTTTTAAAATGCTTGGTATAATTTACAGCCAGCTACCATATTTTATGGTGATAATAATGGTAATGATGATCAATGTGAATTTGAAGGTTTTCAAATATCACAAACAAAGGCAAAATTTACCAATTAATGGAATTTGTGAAAAAATTTGGAGAGGTAATAAGGATCGAAGGTGATATAACAGAAGCTTTCCATTGTGATGACGTGCCCTAATCATCATTCATCTAATACAAGGCAAAATCTGTAATATGGGTTTAAATTTGGAAAATATCACTATGGGGAGTTAAGCAAGTGACAAAGTGGATTCTGAAAACTAAAGTTTGTAAATTGAATAAGAAATTATGTCTGTCTATAAAATTAAAGAAAACGTATTTGAGCAAGAAAATGAAACAGCTTAACCCTTTGACGCGCACAATATTATTTTTATAATTTTTTTAACTAAAACTCTAGATTGATATTTATCCTAGAGACAATATATTGAATTAAAAATATCTACTCTTGCCCATTGTTCTGTGGTGGTGGTCGCACTGTGAAACCACCGCGCGTCTAGGACTTTGAAACTTCTATGTAGTAAGAAAAAAAACTTACCATTTTCCTTGCGCATTTCCATAATGACGAAATTTAACGGATTAAAAAAAATTGCAGAATTCATTATATATTGTTTTACATTATTTTACTAAGTAAATCGTCAGAAAAAATTAAAAAAAAACATTTATGTAATTTTTATAGCATGATATAAGTACCTACATAATAAGCATTTAGATAAATGGTTAAAACCTAAATAAAATAATATATATATTATATTAAATTTCCAGAACAATTTTTTTTTTTTTTTTTTTTTTTTTTTTTTTTGTGACCTGTTTCAAAGCATGTTTTGTCTCTTTGTACATGCAGACCCACATTGCACATTTCGCTAATACATCTTGTTCTATGAGGTTTCTTCCTTGTGCAACAAAATGTACACTGCCTTTTATTTAAATTTCACTGGTATATGTCCAGCGTTATTTAGTTTCTTTTCATCTGGCACATGAAATTTATGGTTTTTTATGTTACGGGGGGGGGGCTTGGTCTTTTTGGCTTTGCACGGATCGTTCGTTTCCCATTCGTACTTATTTTATTCGTATTTCATCCCAAAATATTCAGAAAATATTTTTAATTTAAATAAAACTTTATGGGATTTCTATTTTTAATTATAGCAAAGTATATTTACATTGAATTTAAACCACATGAAATAATTTATAAAACCACAATACTAGCTTGGGGAGCATGTGTATTGAGGTCAGAGAAAAGTCGCTGGAAAAGAAAGACCTTTTTACTGTGCAGGTGGAAGTATTGTTTAGTAATAAAATAACTCTGTGGCTTCAAAGCCCCTTATCTATATCCAGATAAAAATAAACATTCCTATTTAAAAAGCAAGCAAACGCCATTGTGAAGAGCAGTGGTTTCAAGGCGCGACCACAAGCCTCTAAGGATGAACATTGTGACTAGCTAGTGGCGCACTGGTCGCGCCCTGAAACCACATAGCAATGCCATACATATAGAGTTTTTTTTTTATATGCAGTTTTATTACTGCAATTTTTTATTGTTTATGATAGAAATCATGATGTGCGATGACTAACTTTGAATTTAAGTTGTTTATATAAAAGGAAGTTATTTTGTCTCATCGAAAACGAATTTTAAAAGGAACCGATCTGAAGTTTAATACCTAAAACATATAGATTTCAGTCTTTTGTTTATTTGGATGTAAAGATCAGAATCAATCCATTTGTACTCAAAAGTTCGAAAAAAAGAGGAGAAAAAAAATTCGGAAAATGGTGGTTTCAGGGCGCGACCATCGCGCGTCAAAGGGTTAAACAACGTACTTTGAAAGAAATACTTAATAAAAAATTTTGAGCTTTTTAAAATTTCTTTTAAATTTTGATTCTCTCAAAGTAAAAAATGCTTCAATCTTTTATTTCATATTTTTAATTAAGTAATTTCTACTCATCCATATGGATTTAAATTGATGATCTAAATCTAGAATCGTTGATGTTCTGACAAATCCTGATCTCTAACTTTGTATTGTATTTACTTAATATTAAATGAATAATAAAAATAATTGTGCCTTCTTTTTTATAATAGATACGAGAGAATTTTGATTACCTGCAAATCAAGGCTGACATTCAAAAGCAAAAAGGACTGCTTACAGATGCAGCTGAAACACTAAATTTTGCTAAATCAATTGCTTTTCCTAAGTCCACTGGGAATGGTAATGCATTGTGTCTTATAATAAATTTTAAGTATTACAAATGACCCTATTGGGATGCTGTAGTATTTTTTCATGTAGTGTGTAGTATTATAAGTCTTTTTTTTTTTAATAAATTGTTTACAATTTTTGTACTTTATAATGTGTATTATCAAAATATAATTTTTTAATGTGTACTTTATATATATAGTATATATAAGGTAGTTCTCCCACCTTCTTGGTGTGCCTTCATGGTGTAGGGGCTGTACGTTGAGTCGGTATTCCAGAGGTCCGTGGTTCGATTCCCCGTGAAGGCGATTGCTCATTTTTTATCTTAGCTGCTTTCAAAAAATCCTAATGTCTCTACAGTGGCACCCGAACTAAAAGGGTTGTGGATGATGACTCTCCACACCCAGGATTTGGCGATTGGGCCCCTTAAAAACCCCAGTTGCCCTTTAAAAGGGGGAGTATATAAGGTATTTCTCCCACCTTCTTGGCGTGCTTTCGTGGTGTAGTGTTTCTGCACGCTGGGCTGGTATTCCAGACGTCCGTAGTTCGATTCCCGGCGAAGGCGTTTGCTAATTTTTCATCTCTTGTGTTTCCAAAAAATACCTAATGTCTCCACGTATATATTAATTTAAAGTTTAAAGTATGAAATTACCTTATCAAGCTTCATGTTAAGAGGATCATAAGGTATGTTTTCTTTTAATGCTTGTCACCTGAATGCTGTATCATTTGTTAGAATATTTTAACCTTAAATGTGTGATAGATATTTTCTTTCTCTTTTCCCTTTCTTATTGTTGTTAGAAAGAAAATGGTAATCACCTCAAAATATGGTGATGAATAGTTAAGGAAAGAAAGACTGGATAGCCAGGTACATTGGATACAAAATTCTCTAGTTCTGACTTATCTGTAATCTCAGATGTATGGCTCCAGATTTGGTGTATCCAAATAATTATCATTAAGAATGTACATGGGCTATGTGTATTCCCTTATGTATCATCTGCCAAGTATGTACATTTAAGGGGTCAAATGAATATCTGACAGGTTATGGAAGAATGGAATAATAGCTCGCATTTGTGTAAACTTAGATTTTCCTGAAAATCTTATGATGTATGCATACTTTTCTGGAGAGAAGAAATATTTCAAGTGTAATACTCTATGACAAGGGTTCTCAACCGATGGTTAGTGTACCACTGGTGGTACGCAAGAGAAAAATATGTGGTACGCAAAGAAGCAAAATATTTTTAACTATTAAATTCAAAAATTAAAATTCTGACATCCTGATTGGGGTTTTTCTCCAACACTCCTAAATTTATGCGATCTGAGCTTTATTCAAAGTCAATAGCTGCTTATAGACTTTAGCAAGAGGCGAAAGATTTGTCTGCATGGCAGTTTTCATGGTTCTTCCTTGTTGTACATTTCACAAATATTCTTATAACCCTAGACATAATTTTCCATAAATGATGTTTTTAAAAGGTGTGGTAGAAATGGATGCTGTGTTTAATAGAAAATAAAAATAAGTTCCTATGAAAAAGATAATAGTATCTCATTACTTCTGTTAGAGTTTATCAATTTATTAGCATGTCAGCACTTTATATGTTGTCATTTCCTAGCTCATATTACTCTATTTTTAATGAGAATAATTTTTTGTGTCAATTTGCTGTCTCCAACAGTAGGTATTTTGTCTTCTTGTTGCTTTGTATTTCTTATTTTTCTATGCGATTTGAGAATATCATCGTCTGTTTTTGAAGAACTCCTACATTTAAATATTTGTGAAAAAATGATAAAACAAACCTAGATTTTCACAATGGAAAAATGATTAGGATTGACTAAGCAGAAAAGTAACGATTGATAGATGTTGGATCCAGGACAGTCTACTAGCGCTAAGAATATTCAAAAGAAAAGAAAAATGTTTCTAGAAAATATAATGAACGTCATATTTCCTTTAGATTTACTTGAAATGGAGATGAAATTAGCCCTCAACCTCAATGTGTTGTTTTCAGTGACTATTACCCAATTAAAGTATGAAACCATCGTTTCTTAAAAGATATCTTGAATCTAAGCATGCCCAATTTCGAGAATAAATACGAAGAGTATTTTAAGAGGAAATTATCAGAGTTAAAAAATAGTAGACAAGTAATGAAAGGTTTTGTTACTTCAAGTGAAAAAGCTTTGGAAGTTAGTTACCTGGTAAGCCTAAGAATTGCTAAGACTGGGCAGGCTCACACTATTGGAGAAACTCTTGTATTACCAGAAACTTAAGATACCGTTTTTATATTATTCAATGAAAAAGCGGCTAATGAACTAAAAATATTCCTTTATCTAATGATACAGTAAGTCGACGAATTCATGAAATGACAAATTCCATAAAAGAGATACTTATTCAAAAAATAAAACACAGTGAGTATTTCGCATTTCAATTGAATGAAAGTATTGATATTATCAACTTTGTTCGTGATACTACGATGAACAAACTTCATGATAGAGCAACTGCAAGTGAAATTTTCAAAGTAATTGACATTATGTCTGAGAATGATATTCCTTGGAATAAGTGGATTGTTGTATGCAGTGACGGAGCTCGGGCTTTTGGGAAAACATTCCGGAGAGATTTTTCAAATAAAGAAAGTCACACCTGATACTAAATTTACAACGAATTTTTGATTAACAAACTCAAAGATTTCAAAGAGAGCAATGGCAAAATAGTACAGAAAAAATCAAGATTTTTATCTCCAGCGTGTGAGACTGTGTATCGGAAATTATAAGGATATGCTCATTGTAAAATTATTCTGCGATATTGCTGTTGAATTGAATTTTATGGTTTAAGTGCTAAGAACATGATATTTAATTAATAAAGGTAACACACAAAAGGTTAGAAAAGCTTCCCTTTGGTTGTAATGTAAAATCTGAAAGCTTTCAGATTTTATTGTTATTATTATTTAATATTTCTATTCAGAAATTGAAAAATAATCATTGTAAAATGTAGTGGTGATACTAAATATTTTCAGTTTTTGTTTAGATGGTATGCACTAATGATAAGGTTGAGAACTGCTGCTGTATGATGATTATTTAATTATTTGAGGTGGATTATCATTAGGTATAGCATGTCTTTCTTCGTATGTATGATTTTATGTGTGTGAGATAGGTTCATTCATATCTTTTGCTGTGCCATGTCAAGGCAACATATAATCATGCCCTTGTTCTTTGAAACATCTGTGGATGTTAAGACCTATTCAAGGTATTGACTAAAAGCTCATTGCCCTACTGCAGAAAAATGAACTTCTTATGTACAGAAAGATGGTGTAGCATTGCAACATCTTATAAACAGTTTCCATCTTGAAGATGCTAGAGAAATTGTTTTGTGGAAGAATCACTTCAAAAGTGGCTATCAGGACATCTGTATCTATTTTCTGAGAACATTCAAAACAAACTATGTACATAAAAAGTACAGCTTTTGAAAGAGTTAAAAATGAACATTATTATTGCCATCCAGAGTATGGATTAAAAAAAAAAAACTTTGTAAGTTTGTTAGAAACATTGTAAAAGACGTAAACAGATGAATTGAATTGAAGAAACATAATTTCCAACATATGTTGAAGGGGGTGTCTCATAAATAATGTGCACTTATTTTTTGTTGCTATTATTGTACAGTTATTTGTACAAAGGTTGTCTGTTATATAAGTAAAATCTTGTTTATCTCAACTGATTGGGGCAGAGCTATTTCAGGTAACACATTTTAGAGTAAGCTATGAAAACTACTTTTGACAGGTAAACTTAGGAATAAATATGTCACAATTTTTAAACAAAAGATGTATTACAGTGCGTTTACAGATCTGTGTTACTTAAAATAATGAGTGATCTTTTGAGTTGCTGTTTTACAATGCTTACCAACAGCTATATAGCTACGATGTTTCACAAATGGTAAATTGATAAATCATCTCTTTTATAGCAAATATTACACAATTCATTATTTTTGCATGTAATATTCTGAAATCATTGTTTTCATCTGTTATTTATAGATTTACCTCTAAAAAAGAAGGATGGTTTTTTGAATCTTGTAATTCAGTATAACTTTCTTGCAACCTTTTGGTTAAGTGGGGCTTGTATTAAGCAAAATTTGGTTAAGCAGGATTTTACTGTATTTTACACACATGATGATAAACAATGAGAAGAAAGTTAAGAGCAAATTAAGAAAAAAAGTACTGATCATGAGTCAAATGGCAAAGTGAATCAGTATACAACAGTATTTTGAAAAAGGGAAATAAAATAAACCAAGAATTCTTTCATAAAGAGTAGCTATGTATATGGCTTATCACATGTAATTTAAATAGAAGTTGCCTTGATGACAAGGTACAGAAATAAACAGTAAATTAAATCTTATATTTTACAGTAATAAGCAGAAAAGTACATAGCAACATGAGATAGAAAAACAAAAACTTTCAAAGGAAAAATGTAACATAAAGATAACCATCAATTGCAAAATACTTTGTGCAGATAGGAATAACAATCTGTTTATGTATATAATTATGTACATAAATAAATCTATCAAAGTATAAAACTAAAAATAAAAATAAAAAAATAAATTTGAGGACAAAGAAATTTTCATCAGGCAATTTATTCTTCCTTTTGTGCAATATCCCTCCTCCCCCCCCAAAAAAGTTTAAAAAAAATTCTGAATTACAACCAGAAAGTTTTTCTGGAAGGCCATTTTTAATCAATAATATATGCTACTATACTAGCAAAAGCAAAGAAGAGTAATATGTTTTACAAAATAATGACACACTTACCTCATTCAAAGAGTAGAAGCAGATATTTAATAATTAAAGATTAATCAGTTATAATGGCTGTTAGTTCAGTTTTCTATTACTTAATGCAACTTCTGTAATTTTTGGTACCTATTTTGTGAGGCATCCTGGCCCCCCAAAATACATAGAAGCATAAAATTGTGTATTTCTGTGCTGTGTCGGAAAATAGTATGTTGATATTTGATATGAATCCATTATTGCCATAAATCTACACTGGTCATCAAAATTAAAGGATAATGACAGAAATAAAACATAACTAATACTTAATGAAAATTCATTAATAGAAATTTTTACAAAAGCATTAATTACGATAAATTACAATGTTTGGTATTTGATTATTTGCAAAATATTGAAATTCAAACCAAATTTATGCAAATTTGAAAATGAGGGAAAAATTAATCACCTCTTTTAGACAAAGTTTTTTTTTAATATGGTGTATGGTCAACTTGGACAGATATCCATACCTCATATCTTGATTTCATAGACTTTACCAAAGTGTTGATCAAGTCTTGTGGAATTGTCTGCCACTCTCCAAAAATTTTACCTTTCAGCTCCTAGAGGGTCCAGGGAGGAATTTGGTGTGCTGGGAAATTCGGCATCCTAAGGCATCCTACACATGCTCAATCAGGTTCAACTCGAGTGAGTGAGGTCGCCAATCCATTCAAGTGATATGTTCTAATTGCAAGTTTCTGACACCACATATGCTAAGGCTGAGCATTGTTATCGATTAGCAAAATCTTTGGGCCAACAGCACACCTAAATAGTCTGACTTAGGTTTCCAATACCTCATTCACATATCTCCGAGCAGTTAAGGAAGCTCCTTGAAAGATGTGCAGCTCGATGCAGCCATTTGTCATGATCAACCCAAACCATTAAACTGCAGTCGCAGAAGTAGGATATTTCACCGACAAAGGAAGGCAAGTTGCATGTTCGTTCCTCTCTCCAGATCAAAACAGATCTAGAATTACTTTTCAGTAAACAATACTTGGGCCCATTTATCTTGGCTCTATTGAATTTGATGATGGCATCAATTTAAATTGGCCTTTCTGGAAGCTGGAGTGTGTGGAATACAAATGATGCATTTTCTCGCATTAAGCCTCCGTGCAGCAGTAGAATGGCTAATTTGTGTTTTCTATGGCAGCCTGAAGGTCTGAAACCAAATTTCTTCTAATAGCTTCACTGTTTCTTCGAGCCGTGAATGACAGAAAATGGTCTTCTGATGCTGTTGCTGCTCTTGGTCGCCCTTGACCAGGTTGTCAATCTACTTATCCATTGCTTAATAAGTGGCTCCAAATTCTTGATGTAACACTTTGAGGAGTATTAAAATCTTGGGCTACTTCCATTTATGTTTGACCTCTCTCGATTCTATCAATAATTCACCACATTTGACCTTCACTTAAACGATACCTTTGAGCCATAACTACTGAATACTGAACACTATGAGAAACCACATTCACTTTAAACAACATTACAGACTGGAAATTCAACCTGCATTCATTGCCGACCACATTGTCAATCACCAAATTTGCACATTCCCGGGGGATAACTTATACACGGAAGTGCAATTTTGTTTTCAATTGTATTTTTATACAAATAATTACAGCATTGGGCATTGGTTGCGACATCAACTTAGTGAGCATATTTTTTCTCATTATCTTTTAATTTTGATGACTAGTGTAATAGTCCACTTCATTTGCACTGCCCGTAGTAAAGTGTGCAACTTTGTCTGAGTTATTACCAGTTATCTGCATGTGCAAATGAATTAACTATGACCCATTTATAGAGTACAATAGCTAAACTTAATGTCTTTCAACTAATAACAATGAATGCTATGGCAAGTGAAGAATAACATTATCAGTGCTTAAGCTTTTTTATGTGGATAATGAAAGCAGTTACTTAATTTTGCATGTTTTCTTTCTAATATTCTATCCATTAGAAGTATGAAATAAGATTGGTTGAGTGAACAGCAGCATCAGTATATATGCTAGTTGGCCTTGACATAAAGGATCATGTTATAATTTTTTGGAACTTAATGTAAATTGCCAAATAAACAGACAAAGAAATTAACAGTAAAATATTTATTGATGTGTACCTACTAGGTACAAACTGAAAATAATTGCATATTATGCATTCTACAGCTTTCAGGTAGAATGTTGTGTGAAGACTTGATAACAAAAATATTTATTTAGAAATAGTTCTTACAGATCTAATTAGGTAATCTATTAATTTGTTCCAATTCTACTCTTTAACCGCTTCCCTTACAAATTTGTTTGAAAAAAATCATCAAATTTTTTTATTTTATTATTAAATACAACGAAATGAAACAAATCAAAATATGTAGGTTTTAAGTTGAATTTTTAATTTTTTGAAGGTGTAAAAGCATTTTGTTTTAATATTAATTTACTAACCCAAATTATCTTGGGCAAACGAAAAAAAGTTAAATATTAGTCTTTGTATGATAGTTTTTCAAACAAGGGACAACACAAAGTGATACCTGACATTCTACACTCTGCTATGTGGTTTCTTTTCTTACTGGTATACCGCTGTAATCTCTTTCAAGGGTGCCCAAAGTACACTGTCTCGTTGGATTTGATTTTTGTTTTTTGATTTTGTTCCCCCTCTTCATAATCACTATCTGAAAAATCATCGCTTTTGCTATCTTGCATCATTGCCATTATTATTATTATTTTTAATGCATGTATCCTTCTTTATGCATCCGACATATACTATACAATAGGGAAACAGGTTACCAGTCCCTCCGAAAGAACCACGCAACCAACAAAATTTGGCAAACTCCCAATCATGCTGAATATTTCCTTTCATTTCCTTGAGGCCGAGTAAAACAAACCGTGGTAAAACAAATCGTAGTAACAAATTCTATTTCTCCTGAGTTTTCACGGGTTAATAATTAACTGCAATATATACGAACCCGAGATAACTCGGGATAATCAGGCAAGCAGTTAAGATTAAATCTCGCTCTTACCAGATTAAATCTCACTGGCTAGAACTGTTCAGCAGTTTACTTATATACTAGAGCTGAAGTCTAAATTTGGTTTTTAAAGCTGAGCAAAGTACCAGTGTTAACCAGTGGTAGTCACTGAGCTATTCATTTCTAAATGGATTTATTTTGATAGTATTGTAACCACACATCTTCTGTGCATACTGAAATAATTTGAGAAGTAAGTGACATGTTTCAGAAAAATAAGTGCAAAAAAGGTAGAATTGCATAAAAATTTAATTATTCAATAAATATCATATGTAATATTTTACAAATGTATCAAAATATACTTTTTTAATGAAGTCGCTGTTAACCTATTTTTATAGTAACAATCATGTCTATTTTTATTGTAACAGTCATGTCTATTTTTATTGTAACAGTCATGTCTATTTTTATAGTAACAATGACAGTTCAAATGTATCATTTGTAGATATTCATACGCTAAATTTAAGGTCTTTGGATTTTGGAATACTTTATTTTGTGTACTTTCATACTGCAGAAAGTATATATAAAAATAATTTCTACTGATCTAATTTTTAAAGAGGGATTTTTATGCTGTAATGGATTAGTATTAAAATTGTAAGTTGTGTTTGCTGATGTGATTTTTCTTGGAATAACTGTATTTGCGTTTAATGTAACGTTTATTGATCATTTTTTGCTTTATATTGTATATTTATCTTGTTTTGCAGATAGTCTGAGATTTGTTAAAAGGATACCTGTTTCCAAAAAAATTAATTTATTTGTGGAGCTTATAAAAATTTACTGTGATTTGAATAAACAGGTATACTATTAAATTAAATTCATTTATTGTTGATGATTTGTTCTGGAAATTGCTGATATTTATCTTAAAGGCAAAGTAGATTGTAAATTGTAGTTTACTACCAAAAGAGGATACTTATATCTATGCTTGTAATATAGATAGGAAGCCATTATTGGTTGACAGTTAATAAGTAGTATCAGTAATGAAGGAAGAAGTAATCAGTTTATTAGAAATTAAGAGACATCTAGCTTCAGTTAGAAGGTAAATACTTTAAAAAACAGCCACCAGCTAACAGAATTTTGGGGGAATAAGTAAAAAATGCATTTTTAATGTGGCTGAAGAAATATTTCTTCCTTTTAAAGTGTATTAAAGTCGTTTCAGTTGGAAAGTTATTAAAACCATTTATGTACTTTGTTATATGTCTTGAATTTATTTCGAATTTTGTATCAATGATAATCATTTTAAGAATATATAACAATTTTATATATATATTTTTTTGTTTTTTCTTTCTTTTTACTTTTGTAGTAATGCCATTTCAACATTCCTATCACAACTCTTGTAATTTAATGAAATGATACATGAAAGTGGGAATGTAGTGATACTAAATAATATATTCACATTTATGTTCCTATATTTGTTACATACTGATTCTGGATTTATAATTCTGTTTCAGTAAATTCAAAATGAAGGTTCTTCATTTCACAAAACTTTAGGCACTTTCTTTGACTTCCATTATGATTTATGATTGCATTTAGATTTCTGAACTGAATAGTTGATTAACTAGGAGGAAGTTTCCAGAACTGATAGGATTAATTGGGTGTTAATTAATATTGTAAGCATTGTACTTAGCATTTCATGATGTAAACAGACAAAAGTATTGAATGGAATAAATTAAATTGTACAGGAGCCTAGCTTAGTTTTTGAGATAAGTCATGATTTTAGCTGGAGTGCACTGGATCCCTAAATGAAAGGACTGTAGCACTTCTTTTATGTAAGTGAACCATGCTTTCAATGGATAGTTTTTATTTTGATAACAAACAAGCCGTAAAAATCCGATTTAACTTCTGAATGCATGCCTGTCTTTCTTTGGGGAAGAAACACTTTGATGGAGGTTGAAACTTTTAGGGAAAGAAAATCTGCCACCCATATGTCAAAAGTTTATTCTCCAGGAAGTGCAATGGTTTTATGACAGTAGGTAAATTTGTCACTTCTGAAAGTAATAAAAATGATCAGCATGTTATGTCCAGTGCCAATAACTTCTCACTGGAGAATTCTTGCAGACTATTTGAATAATGTAACCAAATATGAGAGGTCAAAATTGTCACTTGCAGAGAGCCTTATGTTTGTTTTCACATTGTTATTGGGTCAGATTCGGGAGAAATTCTTTCCTGCGTCATAGTTTTCTTGGGAGCTAGAGTTATATCAGTCAGGCATCAGGGTCAGAAAGTGTTGGACTCTTCTCTCTTTGTTTTCATACCTATAACACCCTCTTCATACTCTGCAGTGTTTCTATCGTTCTCTCTATTTTCATTGGTGACGCTTTAATTGTTTTACTTTTTTCCATCAGTGTGCTGAAAAAGAATTAAAAAAAAATCATCCTTGGAAATAGTACATTATACCGCATATTTAGGGCTTAAATTCAGCAGGAGACCAGCTGAGTTATATCTTAGATTTTGAATGAAACTGTAATTCCAACCTGAGCCCCAAATAAGATGAGTTTTTATTTTTTTATTTAACTGTTTATCGTCAAGAATTCATGAAATTTTTATCTATCTCTTTATATTTTATTGAATTTAAATTGAATTATTTCATTATTGTATTTATTTATTTATTATTTACCTTGGCAGCCTTTTACTGGGCTCCAGCACTTCTAATTTTAGAAATTATGTCCTGCAAAAGGTAATGCCTAAAACCTACCCAGCAAATTACTAGATTATTAACTTATGCAGTTGGGAAGATATATTGTGTTTCCACACCATGCTGTCATTTTGGGTCATAGTGTTGAAGCCATGTTTCATCTCCTGTTACTAGTCATGAATACAAACTTTTATTAGAGTTTGTAATGGAGAGCATTTCTTGAGAATATTCTACATGATGTTTTTTCATCTCTGATGACAACATTCTGAGAATTCATCTGATGCAAAAGAACATCCCCAGCTTTTCATGCAGGACTTTTTTCCATTGATACAGCATTGATGCTCTTTTGCATAGCAATCTGAGGAGCTGCCTCTTGTCTGCTTTCCATCACATATCATTGCAAGCTTTCTTTAGTGGGTATATCCACACTTCAATCTAATTTGAGATCATCTTCAAACATTACTTTTCCCTATTTAAACATTCATCCCACCTTCTGACATTGGCATAAAAATATACTGTATTACCACACACTGCAACCACACATTTATGAATATTTATGTTTGTTGTAAAGAGCTTAATCATTGAACTTTGTTTCGTATTTCCAGCATTGAGAGACATAATTGACTGACAGCATTCAGTCGCCTCTAAAAAAATCAAGAAACTTATTTTTTGGTGAATTCATTTTATATTTTCAAAGGATAGTTCAATCATTTTACCTTATTTTGTTATATGAATACTCCTTGTGTGGGTAGTTGATGTACTGTTATAGGGTTCTTTGATAAAATAATAGTAATAAGAATAAACTTTTGATTTAAATATAGTTCAAGTGGAGTTTTCCATTTCATGTACTTGTGCATCATTTCATAGTTTTATTGTACTTGTGCATCAGATCTTGGTTTTATTCTACTTGTGCTTCGATTCTTAGATTTATTAGTATATATATATATATTTATTATTTATGAGACAGAAATAAAAGAAAATTAAATTGGCAAAATTGCCTTCATTTATATATTGTTGATTTTAGTAACTGATATAATTTACATATAGTATTATTTCTGTGCAATGTATTCTGTTTTGATTATATGCTGCATTTAAATATATCATTTTTTAATGGAATCTTTTTTATAGTTTTTATTTTATTTATGTGAAAGAATTATCAAAACAATGTATTATGAATTGTCAATGCAATTATATATGCATGTTTTATTACATTTTAGGCTCTAGCTAATGAGGCTATACGTGAAGCAACTGCATTATTTCGGGAAACAATGGAGTTTGATCGTCTTCGATTTGCAATTTCATATTTTGCAGTATCTGGAAATGATATTGAAGGTGCTTTAAAAATACTAGAGGAGATTAAACCTGGTAAACCCTACTATTTTGAAGCTTTGCAACAAAGAGCTGAGATATATCTAAATCAAAAAAAGAACAGGATTAAATTTGTCAATTGTTACAGGTACTCATATTTTACAACTTACCAAATAATTTACATTGAATAGTAATACTGGTTTCTAAGCATAAAAAAAAGCTGGAAGTCATGTTTAATCTAAATTTAACAATTTGATAGATATAAAATATTTGGTAAATTTATGTGAGTTTCTATTACATTAGGGAAGCTGTGAAAGAAAGTACTACTATCGAGACTTTAAATTTATTAGGAGATGCATATATGAGAATAATGGAGGTACAGATTTTTTCTGTTTAAAAATTAATGAGGCTAAATTTGATAATGTATATTATATTTAAAAGTCTATAAAATATTTTATTAACATGAGCTTTCATTTTTTTTTAGCCTGAGAAAGCAGTTGAAGCCTATGAACAGGCTTTGAAGCAAAATCCGAAAGATGTTGAATTAGCAAGTAAAATTGGAACAGCTCTTGTTAAAACTCATAACTATGAGAAAGTGAGTAAAGTTTTATTAATTAAATTGCTAGACTATGTTATTTAACTACTTTATCTAATTAAAAAAAAATTAACTTATTTGGTTTAGCAAAGTATGTTTGGGAGATTAGATACCAGAAATAATGTGTTTATTATGTGAATAATTTTAAAAGAAAGTTCATAGAATAAGTAAAACATATTTTGAAAAATGAAGAACAGTAATATAATAATTTGTCACTTTTATATCAGTGCAGTGGACCAACAAAAAACGATACATAAACTTTGTGCATAAGTGATGCATAAATGAGACTCATAAGTGGAAGCTAGAGTAACATTAGGCAAACTTAGTTTGAAGTCCTTAATAAGGCAAGAATAGCAAGAGGGAATGGGACTATTCGCCGTCGGGCCAGTTCGCCATCAAGACATATTTTTCTTTACACGACTGTATTATATCTTGCCGTATTGTAATAAGTTGATTTAAATTAATAACTGTTTAGTTTAAAAACTGAATTGAACTTTAATAAACATTTTATATAAAATAATATATAAAATGTTTTTGTGTACAGTTTTATTCAAATACACCATTACACATGATATATTAATTTTAAGAGAGTAAGGTGCTGACAAGCTTCCAAAGTAATTCCATTTTCCATTCAGATTTCATAAAAATGTGAGTTTTCTGCTTGTATGAGTGATTTTTCTGAACTAGACAATTTAAATTTTAAGAAATTTTTACGAATCATGTAAATATTGTATCTGCATAATTTTAAAATTGATAATATAACTTCTGTTATATCAGAAGTTTAATCTCAGTTTTCTTTGACTGACATAACTTTCCAACTAACTATGTGTAATTTCTTTATATCTCATGCTTGTAAATAACTAAATATATTAAAAGTAAACTTTGTTAGGTATACAAAAGGTAAACAGAATTATTAAACTAAATAAATTTAATACGAGTATAATACGGCAAGATAAAATACAATCATGTAAAGATAAATATGTCTTGATGGCGAAACGTCTACAGTGAAATGGCAACGGCAAAAAGTCCTAGACCCTAACACGAAGAGTGAGAAAAATATCAATGATGAAGTTTTACTAAGTGAAATTTAACATGAAAGCTTAAATAACTAAATAATCCAAAATTTTAAATTACATTATACCACTTTTAAATATTATATTTTTTCAAAATAGGGTCAAGTTGAAACCAGTTGCTGTTTTTGCCTGTTTTTGAAAGCAGACTTTTTAATTTTATTGAAATGAGAATATGCATCATCAGATGCATCACTTACAAGGTAGATCTTCAACCTTAAACTTCAAATTGGTTTGAAAAAAAATACAGTTGATTCTTTACATTTTAGAAGAAATATATCAGTTAATATTAAATACTAAATCCTTATGAATAATGCAGAAAAAAGATTAAAATTGAAATATTTTATCATTGAAGTTTTGATAAAATTTTGAAACATAGCAAAACAGCTTTGCATTGCCAAATGTGTAAATATTTTTAACTGTCTATTTTATCGCTTTAGCAGCTAATTTTTAATGTTATCCTGAAAGTACAATATAATTTAAGAATAGTGAATTTATTTCATGAAGTCAAATGCAACCAGCTAAAGATAATGAATTAAATTTCTTAGTAATATGTGTTTCACCAACTTTGTACGGAATCTGATCCAGTTATTGCATCAGACTGAAGTTTGCTTCACTTCATTTTGTCTCTTATGATAATGGAATTCTTTTATTGTTTTACTTACTTCTCAAAATTTTTCATTGGCCAAAACATTTAACTAGGAGAAAATAACTGTCATGAATTCGGTCCCAAATTTTAGAAAAGAGAGTTCCTTCCTTGTATATGTGGGAATTTTGACTTCATTGATTTGTTTCTTACATTATGATACTTAGGGTCTAGCATGAGCTTAGTGTCACCATGTCAGTATATTCACTCTTCTGTGCTGTAGAATATCCAGCAGTTGGGGATCAAGAGTTAAAAACCAGGTAATAACAAGTCTCTTTATGGAAAATATTTTAGATGGACTCCTCCCAAGTAGCAGTCAGAAATGGAGCAGCTTCATCTTTCGTTTAAAATAACATTTAAGTTCTTTTTAGGAAGTATTGTTTTTGATACTTTTGTATGATCACAGGCCATTTCTGGTTTGTAAATTAGGAGTAGTACAAAATGGCTGGTTCTTGGTCAGGATCTTAAACTCACAGGTGCAGTGTGCAGGCATAACTAGCTGATGACAGGGCATTACCAGTGAATTAAGAGAGACAGTTTGGTATCTGGATAGTAAATTTATTTGCCTTTAGTGTGTGTTTCCCTGGTGATTGACACAATGGCTCAAATTTATGCTATTTTTTATTCCCCCCCCCAAACATGGAAAGTTTAATAAAAAAAAAAGTTGTTGACCAGGAGTGAAATATCAAGATATATGATTGTTCTAGTGAAAATGTGGTAGGATGAGAACTTTCGAATGAATGAAGCCAATGAATGAATTATGAATAGAAACCATTGAAGGTAAATAATTATCCAAGATAATTGAAAGAAGTGTTGAAGTATTTTATTGCAGAAAAAAGTATTAATAACATTATCCATGCTTATTTATAGCTTTAGATATTGTTTCACTTGATCTGGGATCCCTCAGTTTTATAGGTTTACAGTAGTGGAGTAGTTTGTGGTGTAATACATTGTCTTGATATAAACCTTATACATTAATCATTTTCTTTTTGATAAAGAACATCTGGATGCTTATGAAAATACTAGAGGTTGTAAATTTTTATTAATGTCATGTATAATTTTTGAAAATATAAAGTCTTTGAGCGGTCTCATTCATGATCCTATACTTTTTCTCCTACTAGGCCGTAACATTTTACAAAGCTGCTATCAAAACTGGTGGACCTGAAGAACTACGGTAACATTTTTTTTCTATATTTAGTGCATGTAATTTCTAAACATTTTCAGCAAAAGTATATTTGAAAGTATAAAATATGTTTGGTTTTAGATATGATTTATGTTCCCTCCTTTGTGTAATTAAACGATATAAAGAAGCTGAAGAAATGATTAGTTCAGCCCTAGAAAATGGTCGTGGGGGTAAGTTCATTATTTAATATAATTCAATTATAAAATTGCTTGATTTAGGTAATACAGTGAAACCTCGAGATATGAACACCTCTATATATGAGAAAAATATGACTGTAAAATTTGTCTCTAAATACGAGCATTGACTCAAGTAACGAGCAACCAGCCAGGCTGTTGACATGCATGGTGCATTTCCTAATGCGGCTTGGCTAGGGGAATCCCTTCAGATACTCAGTGTTCTTTGATCTGTGTGTTTGTGCGTTTGTGATTTTTTTTTTTTTTTTTTTTTTTTGCATTTGGCATGAAAATAATTATTTCATGATGCCTCATAAGAAGATTGTTACCTCAGATATTGCTGCAAAGAAAAAGAAGGAAGCCATTGCCATTGAAATTAAGAAAGAGATCATAGATAAACATAAGCATGGTGTAAAATTGACAGAATTGGCGAAGACTTACGGCTGTTCGACATCGATGTTCTGCACTATTCTGAAGAAGAAGGAATAAATTAAGAAACTTAATGTGACCTAAGGAGTTACCATTACTTCCAAGCACTGTCTAAAACTTCTTTAAGATCTTGAGAAGCTGTTGTTGGTGTAGATTAAAGAGAAACAGTTAAAAGGCTATTCGGTGTTGGAAGCTATCATTTGCGCTAAGGCTAAGAATCTGTACTTGGACTTTCTCCGAAAAACACCAGGTACGTTGCCTGAAGATGAGATGGCATTTAAGGCAATCCATGAATGGTTTGAAAAATTTAAAAAGGAAGCCAGTGTTCACAGGGTTGTACGACAAGGGGACACTGCGAGCTGCTGATAAAATTTGGCCAGAGTTCCTACAGTTTATTACTAGTGAGGGGTTTCTTCCACTCAGAAAATCCATGAGTATTCAAGAGGGGGAAAGTGCACTAAAACCAGCTAATTGTGATGTGGCGAGCCAACAGCAAAGCTGGGTGACACAGCAATTATTCATCGAGTAGGTCAATGAAGTTTTTGATCCCTCGGTGAAGAAATTCCTTTCCCGAAAATAAGTTGCCACTCAAGTCTTTGATTGTCCTTGATAATGCTCCTTGCACATCCTCCAGGGCATGAAGATGATTTGCTGGAGCAATTTCAATTCATAAATTCGTTTCTTTCTCACAACACCACTCCACTTCTCCAGCCTAAGGACCAGCAAGTTATTTCCAATTTTAGGAAGCTATAGGCCTTGTTTCAAAGGTATTTTGAAAATACAAGACTGAGCCTCAGATAATTTTGGAAGGATCACTCCAACATCTTAAATTGTTTAAATCTCATTGATAAAGGTTTACTGATGCAGAACCTACTTCCAGTGGGGTAAAGTCTCAGTGAGGACCCTGAATTCAGTATGGAAAAAACTATGGCCTCAGAGTATTTCTGACTTAAATTTCAATCTTCAGTCTGTGGACAACACAGTGCAGTTAATCAAAGAAATTGTATCTCTGGGGAAAAGTATGGATCTGGATGTGGGTAGTGCTGATCGAGTTAGTGGAGGAGCATAGTGAAGAACTTACAATGGACGAACTTAAAGAACTTCACAAGGAGCAGCAGCAAGAGGTAGTAGAAGAGCTTTCGTTAGCGGAGGAGGGAACAGGAGCTAAGGCCCTCTGTTACAGTAAGATTAAAGAAGTCTTGGCAAAGTGGAAAGAAGTGAAAACTTTCTTTGAAGAAAAATCACTCTAATAAGTAGTGTGTAAGTGCACCATGAACTTGTGCAATGACAATATAGTGTTGCATTTTAGAGGCATCTTAAAAAGGAGACAGAAGCAAGTGTTACTAGATAAGTTTTTGGTAAAGCAACCTGCAGCCGAAAGTGAGTTAAGTGTTACTGATGCAGAACCTACTTCCAGTGGGGTAAAGTTCTTAAGAATAGAGAGTCTTCCTGAATCAGAGGGGGACTCTCCTTTTCCACAGTAACATGTTTTGTCATCCCCACATCCCTATTGCCAGTCAGGACTCTTCATAAATATAAACTGCTGTTATATTATTTACCGGTGTTATTTGTTAGGAAAATTGATTTTTATGTTACTATTTTTGGGAGTGTGGAACAGATTAATTGGATTTCCGTTATTTTCAATGGGGAAGTTTATTTCTAGATACCAGAAATTTGCTATATGAGCTCATTGCTGGAACAACGTAAACTTGTTTCTCGATTTTCACTGTATTTGTTTAGGAAAATTTAAATAAATGTATTATTTTTAATTGTTGGCAAATGGTGTAATGAAATCCTGGAATTAGAGATAAACAGTTACCACAATTAGTGTCTAACATGAATATTTGAAGTAAACTGCTGGCCATTTAAAATGCAGTCCCGTACAGAACAAGGTCATATTTTCAGGGCAAATAATACAATGTACTAGGGTAAATTTTTTCAAATTATAGCCCCATTCAATTTGTGAAGCTCTAACAAATCAGCAGTTTATATAGATGCCACGCTATTTTAGCACACAGCCAAATTTCATTTGACCTAGCTATTTGTGATATATGCTGAGCCACTCATTTCCATATCTTCAGCTTGATGTGCTTAATGGATGGCATATCAGGAGAACAAGTGTGCCAAGACAGCAGTCAAATCTGATGCACAATGAAGAATTGTTGACCATTAAATGCTATGCGCACTGTACTGCATTGTCCTATTGAAATTTTGCTATGGGCAAGCCTTGTAGGTAAGGGAGAGCAACCTCCAACTCATTAGATATCTCCAAAATTTCAGATTTAGCAGTGGCTGCTGAATGTGTCAACAGTGCATGTTTGGTGGGTGTCAGAGTAAAGTCTGATGACAACCCCAAACAATAACTTCAGTTAACGGATTTGCGTAGTAATGCGTAATGTATCATTATTATGTCTCTCACCACCATTCCACCAGATTCAGATATGACCACCATGTTGTTACAGGCAGATTTGATATTCCTCTGAAGAGACAGAATTGGACCATTCATTTACCCATGTTCAGCTTTTAACTCACCATTTCAACTACATATGACAGGGTTCGTAGCGGTCCTTATAAGTGTTTATAAGTCCTTATATTTCAAAATAAAATATAAAGGCCCTTATAGGTGCTTACTTTTTCTTTAAAGCCCTTATTTTTTTGTTATTAGTACTTATTTTTTGCTTTTAGTGCTTTTATTTAAATGAACGCGCAATTTTCCCCCGTTTCAAAGCCGAAACTAAATAAACAACTTTTCTTCCTAATATGGAATGTCAGATGGTGAATCATACTCCTGGAAATAGCTTTTCCCCCCCTTTCTCTGCATTAACATAACCTTTGGTGTGCGCGGAGAGTATAGACAGGTGCCCGTCGTTCTGTTGGTCAAAGAATTGCGAAAGCAGTAGAAAATTCCGGTACATTAGGCATTCTTTTCCTCCCACCCAAATACTACACACGTTTGAATTTCTATCAATATCTTAATAATTTGCATTCTCGTTCCACTTGGTCAGTTCATATTCGTGTTTATTATGATCGTTATGCTTATATTATGAGCATAGGTATGAATGTTTATAATAACATAGTTGCAGTAACTGCTGAAGTATAGAAAACTTCCAAAAAATGGTTGTGTTTTAACACAGATTAGCTTTCTAATTAATAATATTCGGAATGGCTTAAATAAAGGGAAAGTAATCGAATAGTCAAAATAATTTCATTTTTTTGGCCAATACATTATACAGTACGAAGGCTGGGAGGTTCTCCCCTTTTTCCGCAAAATCTGGAATATTGAAACTGTTACAGTTCACTGCAAAACAAGCAATGGCCCCCCCTTTTTTTTTGTTTTTTGACACTTTCAATCTGGATTGAATAGGACTAAAAGTTCTGCGGTCTACCAACCCAAGTGAAGAAGGATTCTATTCCGGAAATTTAACGCAGTCTGGTTAAAATTAGAATGAAAAACACCCCAGATTGGTAAGTCTCTTTCTTTTTCATTTATTTAGTTTTTTATTCTCCCAATACAGCCAGCTGTTGAATCCGATTGCATAATATCATGTAGGGAAGAATTACGGTGCATGTATTGCACAATAACTTTTGTGATATTTTGCAGAGATAATTAATTTTGATGTTCGGTGCGAGATTTGTTTATGAACACTTACAAGAGTTTTACTGTGCTTGCTAAGCAGAATATTTTTCTGTTCCGTTGGTTTGTTTTTATATGATGCACATATCAAAATGTCAAAAGCATTTATTTAGCTGAAAAATCTAAAGAACGGCTACAGTCTATCCCCCCTTCCGCTGCTCTTTTTCAAGTTACGCTCTACTGTCCGAATATTCACCCATTTTCAAGTATGCAGGTAGTTAAGCTTTTACTGTTAAAGGATGACTGCATGAAGCAAATTTCTGTCTTCTGATTTCAGAAATGTTCCTCTTTTTTACTTGAATTACTTTGCTTGCAATATCTCTTAAGGGAAAACTGATGTACGATGAAAATTTAGAAAATGTTCAGAATTTAGATGTAAATGAGTTAATTATCAATATGAGTGGAAAAATAAATTGTATTTATTATTAAGTTCCAAGCGAATAGAATAAATATGCCTTATTATTATATATTTCCTCTATTTTGAACTGAAATTTCATCATTAAATCTTGTAATATAGTTTAGTTCTGCATAGTTTTTTTTTTCTCTCATCGTAAGCTAGTTCTGTAAATTGAACTGTTATTTAAAATTTAAAAAAAAAGTAATTATTTTCCATGGTTGAGGTAATGCTTATTCTCTCTTAATAAATACTGCATTTCTCATATTTTAAATTACGAATCTAATTTTTGAAGTTATGCAGATGTGTATAATGTAATTAGACACGTGCTTATTTTTTTTCTTAAAATATGCTTGAAAAGTGCTTATAGGTGCTTATTCTTTTAACTAAAATGTGGCTATGAACCCTGTATGAATATGACAGAGAACCAATAAGAATTTTAGCACTGGACACCCTGAAAGGTTTCATTCCTCTGTAGGTAATGTCAATGGTATATGCTGATCCTAATTCTTACACTAGTGTTCTACATGTTGCTGTGCAGTCTATCATTGCCATGCATATAGTACAATTTGGCAGCGTTATGAGGTTGGTGCAATCATTCCCATCAGTCTGTTCATCCTTCTTGTATCCACTGCCTCCACATCCACATCCTGTAACTTGCTTATGTCCAACAAGAGCACCAGTTTCTTGTAAAGATAATCCACAATAAGATATCTTGTAAAGATAATCCACAATAAGATATCTTGTAAAGATAATCCACAAGGAACAACGGGAAACTGCATAATTCCAGTGCTTAAAGCAATCTCTTTTTTCCTCTTAGTGCTTCTATGTTGCATTACTAGCATTCATGATTTGCATATGCCTTGCAATCCTAATCATTTGCCTATTTGCATGTCTTATTGAGCTCAAAGTGGGGTTTAGTTTTAGAGCCCATTGGATGCTTCCTTCATGGTGTTGTGTTTTAGATAGCCTGCAGTGTATAATAGTATTTCAGTACTTAGACTCATTAGATATCTATAATTGAAAACCTTTGTTATTTGAAGTGTAGGCTGTTATTAATTAAATTATTTGGAGCGATGTTCAGTAAATTTAATCAGTTTAACTAGGGAAGGAACTTGGGCAAAGCATGTGTGAAAAATTGTTTACTCTAGAAATTCTCAGAAATTAGTAAATTGTTAAAAAGCATGCATGATTCTTATCTCCAAGTTCTTTTTAAAGAATTTCTATAAATGTAAGTTTTTTTTTTAATTGTCATCCTGGGCATGTATACTATTTTTATAGCTTTGATGACAGTATAATAATAATGTTTTTAGTTAGCAAATTTCGACTAGTCTGCTATCTGTGCTTATTGAGAACTGTCATTGGCTAGACAGAATGAAGCCTTATGGCATACCATATTCAATTCCTGATCAAATAAACTATTTATATTGGGTCACTTAAAGTTGTAAATAATTATGCAAGTTCCATAAATAAATATGTTTATTCCCCCACCATTCTTATTTCTTCCACTCGTGTATTTCCATTTAGCTTTTTCAACATAAGATAAAAAACTTCCGAATGTATGATAACTTGTGAAGTAGGGATGGATAGCAAAGTGTAATATGCAAGTGAAGATACTGTTAAAATTTTATATATATATAAATAGTTTTAGTCAAATGATGTGTGAAATTTTATTATCTTTTGTATAATGTAACAAGAAATGCTTAAAAAATTGAAGCTCTGCCAGAAAACAAAGTTAGAGGGGCAAGTCTATTTAACATTGAGATAAATGGCTATCCTGCTAAATTGATGAGCTAGTTATGGTTTGGGCGACTAAATTTGGCAAGAAATCGCCAAAAGTCTCCAAACATGGCAACATTTGGGTGCGATCCCTGTTATCACTATAACTGGTACTGGAATTGATCTCTTTACTTAATTGTAACCGTATCCAACCTTATATGTAACTTTAACCGTATATGCCTAAATAAAGTTTTAGTAATAAAAAAAACGCATTCTGCCTCAGAGGGCATAATTCTTGAATTAAAGTTGAAGGACTTAAATCTATCCTCCATATCATAGCTCAAGATGATATCGCAGTACCAGCAAGAATAGAATTTTTATTTCTTGGATCCATAGCTGAAAATAGAAGTTTTTGGCATAACAGAATATCCTAAGATTTGTAACAGCCTGAAAGGAGTACTAATAACCTGGGCACTCTTCGACCTATTCAAGATCGTCATCCTGATCAGAGTTGCTAATGGATATAATAAGGCAAAAGTCATTAAGAAGGACGAAGTGGTCACAGCATGTACTTTAATAACTTTCATTAAATGAACCAGTAGCCTACAGTGCCTGTCATCAAAGAGCCTAATTTATCGCAGAATGCACATCTAAGCGATGAAGAGAGGAGTGCTGCTGAATGCGTCGCACAAGTATTTGAAGATGTTTTCTCCCACACATCTTCTGAAGTAAGTTGAACTAGTTTGGCTCAGCATACAATTGATACAGAAGACTGTCCACCGATCAAGCAATATCATAAGTGTTTACCGATTGCTAAACTAAAAGAGGTAGGAAAATTTGTAAAGGACATGCAAGAAAGCAACATTTTTGAGCCGCTCACATCCGTCAGAAAGAAAGATGGTTAAACTAGATTTTCATTGACTATCTCTGGTTAAACGACATCGCAAAGAAAGATAGCTTCACTCTTCTTAGAACTGGCATCATCCTGGACATTCCATGCAATCTTATTTTTTAAAAAATAAAGTCTAGTTGCTACACAAATTTGATGCCTTTTCCATTAATTTAACAGTCTCTGCAATTATCCGGTCCCAACATGCATCAGTATGCCGTATCTCCTACTTGTAAAACTCTCTCAAAGCTGTCAGGACAAGATGACACTATTACGAGCACTGCTGAGCTAAAGCAGCATACCCACTACTAAGTAAATCCTTGTGAGGGTGATGTTTAGATGTACTACCAAGATCTGCCCAAGCCACCTGTATTAGGAAGAACCCACAGCTTGATGGCGGGTCCGTTTGCCACGCCTTATCTGAGAAATGTTGCCCGTCCACCACACTGAGGGGCCATTAACGCATTTAAATTGATCTTTGTGATCAATTACAAGAGCCTGAGTCTTTTCTGAGGAGATTACAAGGTTTTTGAAGAGTATCCAGTCTACGAATTTGTGCAGATTGCTAACCTCTGATACCCTGCAGAAAATCAGTGTAAGTTATGAGTCAAGTGTGGTCACTATCATAATAGAAAGATACTGCTGTATTAGCAACTTATATTCCACAGCATTGGCAAAAGGCATGACACTTGGGGAATGTGCTTTCGTTATCTTATATCTCATCATGAGTTATTTGAAGTCACCTGGGTACTTCTTGTTTGAGATAGTTTTTCTGTAAAGCACTTACTGTCCCTGGGCTCACAGCCAGATTTACGTGTAAGCTACACAAGCTATAGTTGAGGATCTTTCAAAATTTAAAATATAGTATAAATAGTATTAAAATATAACAGACTTATAAAGGGCCCCATATCCCAAATAGCTTAGGGCCTTATCAAGTCTAAATCTGGCTCTGGCTTAGCTACTGGTTATTACTAGACTACTAATTATACCTGACCATCACAGTGAATTGAATATACCCTGAAATTCTGCCTACCAACTATAATACTGAGTAAACATGTTGTATAAGAATTCTTTGAAAATTGTGATGAGATTCTTAGGTGAGTGTCAAGCTGTCGCTGCTTAGTCTGGCTACCATCATTGAATCAGCACTAAATTTTATTTAAAGTGCTGTTATTATTAATAACTGTTACAGACAAATATTAGTCATCTTATTATATGTTTGCAAATAAATTTACCCCATTCTTAGCTTTTGTTCATATTTTCTACCACTTGAAATAAAAATTACTCAAATGTTAGAATTTTTTGTATCAAAAAGCTGAAGTTTTCTATAAAAAAGTCAGCACTAAAAAAAAAAAAAAAAAAAAAAAAAAAAAAATAATAATAATAATAATAATAATAATAATAATTACAAATGCCTTAGTGAGACTTTTTTTTTTTTAAGTTTATACGGGCACAACAATACTTTGAGCTTACTTTTCAGTTAATTTATATAATTGCCACTATAAAGTGACATGATATGACATAAAACTTTTGTGCACATACAAATATTCTGAAAACTGTTTAATTTAGTTTTATATTTCATTGCTTTTCTTTCATATATACTTTAAAATTTATTCTACTAGAACATGTAAAATTGTCTATTCTTTACTCATTAAGTTACAAGAATCTCATTTAATGTAATGTTATTTGAATTATATTAATTATATTAATGTAATTTAAATAATATTTGATGAAGTTTTTTTTTTTTTTTTTTTTTTTTTGTTTGTTTGTTTGTTACAACAAATTTTCATACGCCTGTTGAAATTTTCAGCTGATGATCTGAATTGGTTGACCATGGAATCAAAATATCTGTGCCTTTTATCTGAAGTTTATTCCAAAATTGAAATGGAAGATCAAGCAACGAGTGCTCTCCAAAAGGCATGGAGTGTTCAAACTCGGTACAAATTCAATTAAATAATTTTTGTAATGAATAATTTTATGTGAACATAATATCCTGATCTGATAATGCAGTGGTGTCATACCTTTTAGCTATCCTTAGCCACATTGAGTGAAAATAGATTGTCTTGAGCCTGCACATAAAATGTATAATATATTTACGGCACATAAGTAAAGAAAATTTATTTTTTAATTAAAGAATCTTTTTATTTTTTATGTATGTTTTCATTAAATTAAAGGAAAAGTGGCAATATAAAATAGTGAGTATTTGTTTTTGTTTTTCAAAACTAAGTCCTCAGTGTCTGATTTGATTGAGGTAATTGCAATCCTAAGCAAATTCTCAAAGTTCTTGTCAGAAATTTTGGTCTATTACTTGAATGATGATATGAATAAGGTACGACTGTATAATGAGGAATATTTTATTCTGCACTGTTAAGTCTTCTAAAAAACTAGTTAAAGGCCATTATGAAATTTTTCTTTCACTTGAGCATTTGATTTTCATTGCATACACTCCATTTGAATGTTTGTTAACAATTTGTGCTGATCAAAAATAAAACTGCTAATTCTAAAATTTGATTGTTTTACTGGAAATTCTGAAAACTTATTCTCAGATTTCTGTATCAAAACAGAAATGAATTTTCCTTTTTCATGAGAATGTGTTTAACTGGGTTAAAAATGATTGATACCAAGGTGCAGAAATTTGTTTAAAGTTATGAATCAAAAGTGTTTGATTTATCCTTTTAATAGGTAGAATGGATAGCTGTGATGAATAAACAAGTTTATCAGCACCTTTACCTGGTGTAAACGGGACTGCAATCACCTCAAATAATAAAAAACTGAGTAAAAACACATCAGATTTTAGATCATGCCACTGTTTCTATTGATAGCTTTTCCTGAAAATATTTATTTGAAATTCTAGAAATAAGGGAACAAGTATTACAATCAGCAGTTTAAGTCTCAATCAGCAGTCTTTTATTAGTAAATAAAATTTATTTCCCATCATTAAACAATAATCCATCATTGTCGTAGCTAGGATTTTCAGCACTGTATCTGGGCTGTCTTATTCCCAGGCATAACTGAAGATTTTTGCACACTTAATAGTTCCACTGCACTTGAAGGTATGCATTAAAAATTTTAGAATTAGGCAAATATGATAATGATTTAAATAATACATTTTGAATGATAGAATATATAATCTCTGAGCACTTCAATGTAAACTGTACTTCTGTGAGTGTTATTTGCACCCGTTATTTTGTTTCATTTTTAAGAAGAAGTAATATCAGAGTCTTTTTTCCCAATGGAAAAGGCAAGACTAGGTAACGGACTGAGTTATGTAAGTGGGGAAGTAAATAAGGTTATTCAAGGAGGACAGTTGGCTTCAGCAATGATTCATATAGGCTTAATTTCAATTTTGCAACTGCTTGATGTCTCTATTAATAAACCTGTCAAAGACAGAATTCATAGGTCTTGCACCAAATGAATGGCTGGTAGGTCTTGATGCACAGGATTGAAATATAAAGGCCAAGTTTTAAAAACTAAAAGGATAAATAAATGGATCGTACAGACATGAAAACGACTTTTGTTGATAATGGTTGATTAATGTCTTAACCAGTATTTGCAGTGTCACGGATGGTTCTGATTATGAATTAATGAGAAAAGATGCTACAAAAGTAATGAGTGTCTACAGCAATAATGTTATATCTTTCACAACGTCTAATGAGTAATCACCAGGAGGGGGATGCATCAATCTGTGAAAATTAGAAATTCATTAACAATTTGAGATAATTTAAGAACAACCAGTTGATTCTCCAGTACAAGGTTTTCTGATTGATTTTTACAGGTGGTATTAATAGTAAATCATAATTTTTGCATAAAAAATTTTGATTCATTTAATTTGTAATAAACACAATGAAGAATAAATTAATAGCATGATTTTATTGATGGAATGATTAATAGATTAATTGATAGATAATAGCTGAATTGAATTGATTAATAGCTGAGAAAATTTCAAATAGCTTCGAATATATATACTAAATTTTAAAATATTAATTTTGACTTGTAAAAACAGGACATTGTCTCCTAATCAAGTTATCTGGAAACTAAACCCCGTGCAGTCCTATATCGAAAAATTTGCAATGAGTTATACACAAGCTGCCTGAGGGGAAGGATGCATTTGCGGAGAACTTTTTAAGAGAAACTGACTTTTACACACGTCACACTTGGGGAAAACCACAAAAACACTGATAAAGCCAACCTGTTCTCAGGATTCGAACCTCGGACCGAACTACCAGTGTTCAGTGACTTGAACTGCTCGGCCCCTGGTGAGCTAGATTACTTAAGTCATTTAAGCTATTTTATGAAGGATATCATGAATCTCTCAGTTATCTGTGCACGCAAAAATGAACAAACAAAAGTTTTAAAAAATTGGGTAAAGTCTGCATCCTTTTAAACTGCCGAAGCTTTAAAAGTGCCCCTAAAAATGACTAGTTCAGTCCCAAGACTCTGTTAAAAGTGAAAAGTGTCATGGTATAGGTTTGCTATATCTTATGCTTAATAGTTGACATTAGAAAGCCCTTCTTTAAAAATGAATAAATAGTTGAGTTTATTTTCAAACATATAAAACATCTTGAGCAGTGTGTTGACTATGTAGTGCAGTATAGTAACAGTGTGAAACCTACGCATGAAGCAGTATAGTAACAGTTTGAAACCTACGCATGGAAAATTCTTGTGTGCAGGTCTCCCATGACATAGGTTTATGAACATTTCATTCCCCATATGCTCAACACTTTGTGCCTTTGGGAAAGTGATATATATGTGTACTAGCTGGTATCAGTATCAGAGTTGGTTTCAACTTTTTAGAAAATTAAAAGTTTTTTCCCCCCCCCCCCTTCACATACATTTTCAGAAGTTTTTTTCCCCTTGTTTTCTCTCACTTTGTCTGTGTCTTGACGGAAAATTTTTGTGGTGCCCACTTTCCTTGATTATCTAACTGTGCCCTTATTTTGCTTAATAGTTAATCCAGCTATGTGTGTCTTGCTGGTTGCTCAGCGAAATTCTATCCACACAATCAGACTTTTTAATGATTTTGTAATTCAATTTTGACGCAACAAAAGTGCTGGAGTTTATCTCTGTTAGAATTCTTGTAGAATTTACTATTTCTATCAAATTGGAAAAGTATATAATTTGGGTTAACTCAGGCTGAATTTGAAGTCAGTATTATAATCTACATCATCACTGAGAGCATCAGTGTCATTGCTATCATATGAAATGTATGCAAACTCTGAGTTTTGTTTTTATATGCCTTAATTTAAAATACAAGACCAGATGCTGAATGTGCATTAAAATTATAATTTTGCTTCACTTCAGTGTTTGTTAATTTTTGGATTTAAATTTATGCACTAACGTTTTTTTTTTTTTTTTTTTTTTTTTTTTTTTTTTTTTTTTTTTTTTTCTTTTTTTTTTTTTTTTTTTTTTTTTTTTTTTTTTTTTTTTTTTTTTTTTTTTTTTTTTTTTTTTTTTTTTTTTTTTTTTTTTTTTTTTTTTTTTTTTTTTTTTTTTTTTTTTTTTTTTTTTTTTTTTTTTTTTTTTTTTTTTTTTTTTTTTTTTTTTTCTTTTTTTTTTTTTTTTTTTTTTTTTTTTTTTTTTTTTTTTTTTTTTTTTTTTTTTTTTGTTTTTTTTTTTTTTTTTTTTTTTTAAAAAAAAGTGTATGCATTTATGTATGATTGCAGAATTAGTCTGTGTATATTTTCTGTAATGATATAATTTTCTAATATGCTTGCCTTATTTATTTTTCAGAATACTAAGAAAAGTACATATGGAGCAGTCTAATGGTGAGGTACACCGCAAGAAAGCAAAAGAGTTCGTATTTTTAACATGTTGCTAATTTGATATGGTAAATGATGTGCTATTTTAAGTGTTGAACTTATTTGCAGTTTTTCATCTTTACATACAGGATATGCTGTCAATTAGCTATACATGCATCCAGGAAAAAAGATTATGGAAGTGCTGTTCAGTTCTATAGAGAAGCTCTTACCTTTGATGAAAGTGATACTGAAGTAAATTATGTTTTATTTGTTTTTCTTCTTATTCTTTTTTTCTAAACCTCAAAGGTAACAAATTTGAAAGTGTTTGTGATAATTTTTTTTAAAGTTGTTACTGCATTGGTAGTCTTTCTTTTTGTCTACAATAGGATGGCCGATCTACTTGGGTGTTAGCATATCGGCTAAAAAGCACCACTGTTGTGAACATTGTTCTGAAACAATACCCAGGATGTGTATGCTTAGAACAGTATCTTTAATGAATACAACTGTTAAAGGTAGAGAAGGTGACTGAGTAAGATTGTAATAAATTTCTAACAATTAATGATCAAAAAGAGCCAATAAATAAACTCAAAAGAAATAAATAAAAATAAAATAATAAATAAATAAAATAATAAATAAACAATGCAGAAAATGAACCGATGCAAAATGCCAAAATGAAATAATAGTCCTTCTGGGCAAATTTCTGCTTTGGATAATAAATATAAATAAAATAATAAATAAATGAAGCAGTACATAAAATAAATTAGTTTGTTCATACAGCAATACGGCCACATAAATACACACTGGTGAGGTTGTGACATATTCCTAGCAATGAAGCAAACTGAAATAAAGCAGAAGGTCTCTGTGAATAAAGCTAGTGCAATGATCACATTATAAGCCTGGGCAAGAGATAAATTCTCACTGAAGACACTATATTTTTGCCAAGACACAAACATATGAATTAAATGTGGACCTTAATGTATAAATGAAGAAAGAGTAAATTTAGGCATGCTGTGTATATATTACTGGCAAATTATGAAACACCAGTATTCTATAGAATACCTAGGCATTTTATAGAATGCCTGCTGTTTTTAGGAAAAGTATGAAATATGAGAATTATTATATACTTTACCTAGGCATTCTAGAGAATGACAAGTGCTCGTGCTCTTGGGCAAAGTCTGAAAAAAAAAAGGGTGATGATAAGGCCTGTTATTTAAAAAGTGTTCATTCCTCAAAAATGAAATATTCTTTTGAAAAAATAATGAAAGGCTGCCATTAAAAACTGTTATTCAAAACATGTAAAAAAATTAAAGTTGAAATAATTTTATTTTGAATTTCACTTAATTATATTTTTTTATAAAAAGTAAAACATTAAGAAGGAATATACAAGGTGGTTACAATTAAAGTTCCACTTTGAAATGGTCACGAAAGGAAAAATTACTGGATCAAATATTATCAAACTTGGTAATCGTATAAAGAAGGTCATGGGAAATTATTTTCTACGAAAAATTTTTTTAAAAAACTCACCGCCAGGTGGGAAATGGTGCTGTATGCAATAGTATTGAACAAAATAAGGGTTGCAATAGTGTTGAACAAAAGGTTAAGGTTACAGGTTTTAACATGTTGTGTACCCTTAAGAAACATTGACCTAAACAAAATTACCATTTAAAGGCATTAAATGTGATAAAAGTTGAGTGTGCCATCCGTGTAAATGAAAAATCTGTCATAAAACCACAATTTAACGATTAGAAAATGTCAAGTTGCTCGCAGAAGTGTGCACATTTTTGTAATTGTTATCTCACAGATCACTAATTTGTGATTTTTGAAGCCTGAATTCAACCCTAAACCATGAAGATAACAGTTTCCATTCATTTCTACAACGAAACTGTTTGTGGCGTTATGCAAAAGACTCAAAAGCATTCTTTATGATGATAATTTAAAAAATGTGGTGGTATTGAAAGATATGATACGCCAACATGTCCGTGATATTCCTCCTGATATGCTAAGAGGTACTGTTGAGAATACAATTTAACTTGCTTTCGGAAAATGATGGATGCCACATTGAACATGCTTTGTAACATGTTTAGAAGTGATTAAACAAATTTTAAACCAATTTCTTCATGTCTTATTTCGTTTAACAATATTGCATACATTGCCATTTCCCACCTGGTATTTGAAAATTTTTTTGCAGAAAATAAATTCCATGACCTCCTTTAAACAATTACCAAGTTTGGTAACATTTGGTCCAGTAGTTTTCCTTTTAAGACCATTTCAAAGTGGAACTTTAATTATAACCACCCTGTATATAATATGTCAGTTTTTCATAAAAAAAAATTAAAAATTAAACTTCATTTACTTGTTACAACAGGGTAGGCTTGAATGACATTTTGAATTACACTTTATCACTTTTTTCATGCAAATATGTTTCATATTTTGGCACTTTGTTTTACACATATACTTCATTAATCTTTGGCCGCTTCTATTAGACTGAGAATTAACTGACCAGAGAGGAATTTCATGGTCAGGAATATTTTCAGTTCTGAGCAAGTTCTTAAAGTATAAAATGAATTGTGATCTCGCATATAGTTCTTTTAAAATTCCATCTGAAATTCCAAGTTGGTAGAAACTGTCCTCTGTCACACTCATTACCTCATTACAACTGACAAAATGTTACACGAATCACCTCGGCCCTGTTTGATGTCAGGAATAGGAATTCGCCCAGTAGTTGCCAAAGAAGCAGTGGAATCGTTCTTCTCCAAATTCATTTTATTTTTTTGGCTTCCATTTTCAGACTGATTTTTGAATTTTGCCTTCGGTATCATTTTCAGTTTTGAAACAAAGAGTGCACAAAATATCCAATTTATCATCTTTACTAGCATGTCCACAGAAATTATGAATTTTTTATGACACTTTGTGCCTGTGTGTGCATTATTAGTTACCTTGAAGCACACACAACAGCAGGCATGGAAATATTTTCAGTAAGTATGTCATCATCATGTTGGTTCTATCATCAACTATAATCTCATCCATGTTTTTGAAATAGGCTCTTTTTCTTACATAAGCTAATTTGTTTCATTTTTTTTTGCATCATTTGGACACTTTCTATTATTTCCCCCTAGCTGCTTATTGTATTTATATCCTTTAAAGCATCTTAGAAATTGGGAGAGCTACTTTAGGTTTGCAGCCAAAAAGGAGAATCCAGAATGGTAAGCTCTATTTTTCATAAATTGTTCTTCACTGCTCAGATTTGTTGTCCTGCATCCATGTGTTGAGCATATTTTCAGTGTCTTGATTAGCTCTTTCGACACTACCCTGGCTTTGGTCAAAACTTCAGACTGGTCACCACATTATTGGCAAATTCTCTACCATTGTCAGACTGTAATTTAGATGGCACCCCAAACAATGAGAATATGTCCATTAGTTTGTAGGCTACATCTACTGCTGTTTTTGACATCAGAGCCTTCAGAATCACAAATTTTGTAAGATGATCTTGGTCTGACTGCATAAATTCTAATTTAAAAAATGAAGCAGCATTCACCAGAGCCAGGACTTGGGAGGGTGGCCTCCCACTCGATCTGTGCCTTAGGACTTGCTACTAATTTCTCCAGATTATAATGCTTTCCTGAGACTTGTACATAAGTAAATGGTCATTATCTAATCAAGAACTTTATACTAACGTTTTTACAAAATTTTCGTTATTATTTTAACGTTAATTTTAGTATTTATTCGGCGTGTTATTTTCTTAATCAAGAACTTTATGTTTTATTATTTTGCATTTTATCTTATATTCTCTCTTTTATTTTGTATTGTATCGTATTTACAAGATAATGAACTGCACCATTCAGATGTCATCTCGTGTTCACGTGACGTTGGTCACACCCCCTTCTACACTTTAACTATCCTGCACCGCCCAGCTCACGCATTTCTTTACTTTCAGTGCTCCTTGTAGCAACTACATTATGACTTCCGGAACACAGCACGTAATTCTACATGCTAATTGCAGCATAAAGTGGAACATGGAGCAAGCAACCGTCAAACGAGAGCTGAATAATTTCAGCGATCGGTGCTGGCACCATCTGTCAGATATACGGACACCCTACTGATATTATCCAGAGCATGTGCAAGTTTTAGCGTGTGTAAAGTGTCATACTGTAATTCGGAACGTAGATCGTTATGTTATTTCTTTTTTGTTTGTTGTTGTAAGTTTTTCAGTATGGATATCTTAAATCCGCATCATGAGCGCAAAGGAGCGAGAATCTAAAAAAAGCAATTAAACATTGCAGAAAATAAAAAAGTATCAATGAATTGTATAAAAGCTGCTGAAAAGAAATTGAGACTATCTCAAAAACGGAAATTAGAAAAGTTGGCTGCAAAAGTAGCAAAAAAGAAAAAGCTTTTTCCCTAAAAATTTTTAATCGGGATCGAGTGAGACTGAGACAAAATAGTTATTTTTTATATTCCTCCTTTAACTATATGTTTTTTTTGTAACTATATTATCTCACATGACTACTTTTCTGGTGTTATATAAAGTACTGTTTATTGAACTAAAAGTGAAAATAATTAAAAGCTATAGTAACAGTTATATATATACATATATATATATAAATTATCTCTAAAACTTGTCATTGCCTGAAAATGGGCAGTAATATATAACATAAATATGTATATTAGTGTGTTGTAATATTGTGTACAGTATTTATGTATCAACTGTTAAATTAAGTTACATAAAGAGCATCTTAAAGAAGATTAATTCATTACAATTTCTTGATGATTTACCAATTTTTTTTTTTTACAAGTGAAGATAAAATTAATAGCCAAATAGTAAGTACAAGTATTATTTTAGCTTAATTATATGTATATGTTTAATGCTTTTTATATTAAAAGGTTTATAGTTTATTAAAATGTGTTTTTTTTTAGGTCACGTGTGCGCATTTAGTTTTTTCTGTAATTTTGTGTCTGCGCGTTGTTCAGCTTGCCAACTTGCACTTTCATGCCTGAATCAATGAGGCTCCTGGTGTGTTTGAACATGTCCGGCAATAAATGATCCGGTCGGTGTTAGGCATGCTTGATGTCTGATGGTGCAAACTTCGAGCATCTGTTGTAACATTCAAGCTGTCATACACCATTTGTATTTATGTCCAATAAATGTTTAAAATTAATCACTCTTGTTTCTTTTCCCATCTTCTACCTTTGCTACCACTTATCCCTGGCATTTTTGGGCATGGGTTCCTGTGCAATTCTTAATCCTTATGATG